AATTTTATAAAAGGTTTAAAAGGCTAGGTCAACAAGGCCAATTTGACAAATGCCCCGGATTTAATTTGGGGAAGAAAGGTTTGTTGTCGGGTTTGGGTTTTGACCGAAATATGGGCCTTTTTAATTACTTTGATTTTTTAATCATTTCACAGCTAACTGGCCACGTAGGAATTTTTTAATTGCTGTACAAATGCTATGCACCAAATTGCTGTACAAGAAGCAAAATCAAAATTGTAATTTACCTTTCAAATATATGAATTTTGATTTATTTAGTTTTCCAAAAAACATACAAAGGTTGCGAGTAAATTTAGAGTTATGATTCTTAGAGCGAATGAAAATTATATATAGTCATTGCTTGGTGTAGCTAGAATCAGTTTTTTTTTTAATGATTTTGATAAAAATAAATGAAATGTATAGTTGAAAGGTTGTTGATTCTACGAGAAGCGTTGTTAAAATTAATTGTTGATTTTAACTTACATTTTTATCAACTTTTTAAATTACACAAAATATGTTGATTGTAATAGAATTCGTTGGTAAACGATAAAACTCATCCAGATGAATAACAATATTCAAGATTTTTAGTGCAAATGAAAAATATGCAAAAGTCAATACAATTTCTGACCATGTTGAGCTCCTTTTGACTACCATTAGTTCAATATATTCATTTTTAATCATATATTTACGCAATAAAAATATTTTTTATGTAAATTCAGAATTTTTTTTACTTTTTAACTACACATTCTTCAAAAATTTACTATTCAAAACTTTATTTTTACCATATAATGGACATCAAATGATTATCATTCACAGGATATTTCAATAACAATCATGTTACACAGATTTTCTCCAAATAGGAAAAATGTCAACCAAATTGTCACGTAAAATGTTAATATATCATTATTCTTTCAATAATATTGGTTTAGTTTTGAAAACAGCTATATAAAAGGGTTACGTCAATTGTCAACTACTAGGAGATATTTAAAAAAAAAAAAAAGCTAAAGGCTTATTTTTAAATTTTTTTTTTCCATTTGTATTTAAAAAATTAATGTATTTTGGTCAAACAAGAACTTGTGGCAATTAATGTCATATTTTAAGGGATAATTGCAATCAGGGTCTCATTTCTCTTAAAAAAGTGCAATGGAGTCCTAGACCTTTTAATTTTTGACACTTTCATCTAAAACATTTGTAAAAATATGCAACTCAAAAGACCCTTGGACGATAACCGTATTAAAGTCCATTAATTGACCAATTATACATCGAGTTAGCTTCAATTTACCATTTTAAAGAAGGACACTAATTTCTCCATATTTTCTATGTTCCCTCCAAAATGTAATTTTTCTCTCTCAATATTTTGATTATATTCTATGATATTTGTTTATACCAATTCAATTTTCTTTTCCGATTTTTATGGACTAATGTGCTACAAAAGGTGATTGTTTGCAGTTATAAATTTGTTCAAGGTCACTTGATCCTATTTCTTAAAACTCGTTTTTTTTTTCATACTTATTTTCAATCATATATGTTATGGTCCTATCAATTTTTATAAAATTTTCAATAATACATTTTATCAACTTTTAACAAATTTACTAGAAATATAATTTTTGTTCAACCTCCCAATAACATACTTGTTGATACCAATTCAAAATTCTTTTCCGACTTTAATGCACTTATTATGTGCATCAATAA